GATGAGCTCATAATTGATCTTCTTCCCTACCTCAACCCAGGGAATTGAAGGGATTCCAAAGATCAAAATAAATTATAATCCTACAACATGGATGTTGGAAGTTACTTCGGAATCTTCAGAGGCTAAACTTGGAGTTGATTTTGCCTTGTTGTACAAGCAATCAACCCTCTTCGAGTGAGTTCCAGAAGTTTATACCAGTATTGCCATTGTACTTATCAGACATTACACAAATACTAACATGGTTGATTCTTACTTCAGCAGAAGTTCACTACCGAATTCTCGCAGAACGGATGGGGCCAATTCAAAGCTTGCCTTTGGAAACAACACTTATCTTACTGGAGGAGCCCTGGGTATAACTTAATGCGACTGCTCCATACATTTGCCAGCAAATCCGTGTCACAGGTTGCTGTGGAAATCCCGTATCTGTTTGCACAAGCTCTAGTATTCACAGCAATCACATATCCGATGATCGGATACTACTCGTCAGCAACGAAGGCTTTCTGGTTCTTCTATGCTATCTTTACTTCGCTGATGTACTTCAACTATCTGGGGATGTTGCTTGTGTCGCTGACACCAAACTTCATGTTCGCTGCCATCTTCCAATCTGTTTTCTACGCTAACTACAACCTCTTCGCCGGGTTCCTGATTCCTCGACCGGTAAGTCAAGCCTTACCAAACTCCAAAGACCATTCTTTCGGCTTCTACAGGACTGATAAAAATGGGTACATTTTCGGTGTATGGTGGCAGAGGATACCAAAATGGTGGATATGGCTTTATTACTTGACCCCAACTTCTTGGTCCCTCAATGGACTGCTGACTTCACAATACGGAGACATACACAAGGAGCTGATGGTTTTTGGGGAAACCGAGACGGTTGCTGGGTTCCTGAAAAGTTACTTTGGATTCGACCATGATCGGTTGGGTCTGGTAGCTGCTGTTCTCATTGCTTTCCCGCTTGCCTTCGCTTCTCTTTTCGCGTATTTTATGGGAAGATTCAACTTCCAGAGAAGGTAATACTGCACAAGCCGAATGGAACGTTCTTAAGAAGCAGCTGGACATGTATAGACGCCAGAGCTTCATACCCCATGAAAGTAAGCATTTTATTATACAGAGGAGAGGCATTGGATGATCGTTGGCGTGCTTGGAAGTCACTGATCGAGGACCTCAAAGTTGGCATCGATGGTTGTTGGTGATGTGGAGCTGAAGGCAGGATTACTTTCCTTGTTTGATTTGGATTAGCATTCCTTGTTTGTTTAAGCTTAGGTTTTCGTGTTTAATTGTAATAAGGAAGTTTTAGACGTTCATGGCCCTAGCTAGCTATTTAACCTTTGACATTTGCGTTGTAAGTTTTTCAGTTTTTGAAGTTTAATAAGAACCCTAGTTCATTGAGTTCTAGCTCTTTGATTTGTCCTTGTTGTGTAGAATTAAATTCATCAACGAGCGAGCTTAGCATCAATTGATTTTCCCCATCAATTGTGGATGAGTTGCACTCAATTGGATCGAGCCTCTTCCCCTATTTAGTGTGTTGAAGTTGCTCTTCCCAACTCCGCCTTTACCCCTTGTTTCGTTCATGTTCTTCCCAAACTCATCCGTCAAGTTCGATTTTGAGGAATTGAGGGATCAGTTTATCAAGCGTCCAGGTTTGGAACGGATCAGAATGCAATTTATTGAAGTTTGTTTGTTGTGTTGAATGAAGGTTATTTTTTGCTTTTACTGAAGTTGAAATGGTCCCAGTCACACTAGTTGGAATTGATGAACTAACCGTCTTCTCACTATGCTGCCCTTCCTCTGTGATTATGATCAGGCAGCTTGTAGAAGCATAACAGCAGCAACATGCCTCCCCAGTTGCATCATGTTCCGTTCCATGAGATCAAAAGTACTAAACATCATCCATGAGATCCAACATACTTTACTTCGATGAAATGCATCATGTTCCGTTCCATCACCTCAAAAGTACTGATAAGTTCCAAAACCAAACACCAAAAAACTTATAAAACAATAAGCTAGCTACGTTCCTCCGTATAAAGAGGTATGTTTTATTGAAACTCCTAACATAGCCATTACAGCTGGACTATCGTGCCACGCCTAATTGTCTGTGTCCCCCTCCATGCTCTCCACATGCCCACCTCTTCAACCACTTTGACTTTGCCCAACTAATTTCCGGTAAATTTCATCTCCAACCTCATTGTCTTTGTTATTCAGCATAAAAAGGGCTAGCTCAATCCTCTCCTCCTCACTGTCAAACTTAAAGTGAAAAAAAACGTTGCATTAGATTATTATTAACGACACCGAAATACAACATGAGGACAAGAACGTACCCTTTTTCTCATTCCCCGCGAACAATCATCTAAACAGCCACCGTTTCTCATCAATTTTAGCACAAACAGTCCACAATCAAACCTGGGCACAAAAAATTTGGAGTTAAAAATAGTACACAGCTTATTAGACAACAAATAAGTCAAAGAGAGAACACTCATAAGGATACCCATTTTGTTGCCTGGGAGCATTAACCACAATCTCAACAGTGAAAGAGACGAGCATGTCACATGCATATCTTCTAATGATCTCCACATAAAACAGCGAGTCCAGTTCATTGGCCTATATGGTGTGCACCAAACAAGTAATTCAGCATACATACAAATGAGAAAAATGAAGATAACATGCTAGGTGATGCCACTTACGATTTGTTTCACTTTTTCTTCCATCATAATGGGATCCAAGTAGTTCGGCAATGAATCACAGATTTGAATGACCTTTTGATTAAGGTCAAACACACTTAGGAAGAAGTGTTTGTCCACCAGCACAGGGGCAAAAATCTAAAAAAGGTACATATATTAGTTGAAAACTCCAAACACGAACACTATAATGAAGAAAAAACCTATCAACACCTACCTTCTCACAGTCACTAAATTCTTCTACACCATACATTGTTTTAAGGGTATCCTCTGAGTAAGCAAACACACGACCTCCAGCCTTGCTTACCTAAAATATGCACCGTGCACAAAACATTATACATAGATGGTGAAATTTGCGAGAAATGGAAGGATAAAATATCAATCCCCTTACACCAAATGCTGGCGGTAAGAACCAATGCACACGTCTCTTCTCACAAAAGTCCTCTAAGGTTAACAAGTCTGTGCACATAGTCATTATCTATACAAATATACAACACAAAATCAATATACAGTAAACAACCTCTACCCTTTAAAACCCTTTTATGCTGATTTTAATCTTTAAAATAAATGTAACACTGACCTGGGTAGACAACCATGTTTCAGGTAATAGCACCTTAAACTCTGCACGGTTTAAATGAAACCATGGAGATTTGACCAACACCTCACTACAACAGTAAATAAGATATTCACTGAGGGATACCAAGAATTTGCCAAAAACGTATTCTCAGTAATTTCATTTGTTTTTGCATACGAGACAAACTTAACAAGGACAAAGTCTGAACAAAGATTAGAAGTATCAGTTCAAGAGAAGAGAAATATGACAAATCAGAAAGATATATTGCTCAAAACTTTTGGAAAATACAAAAGATAATATAAATCAGTTTACACGACAGAAGAAATGAAAACCCAACTAGAAACAAATTAATTTTACCTTGCGTCCTTTGACGGATCGAATGCATGCCTGATTAGAAGCTTATTCCTTTTTGATACATGTTGTGTACTAGTGAAGGGTCCGATCACCTGTTTAGCGGAACCTCTCCTCTCGGTATCTTGTCGGGTCAAAATAGTACTCCGTACGCTAACTGGAGACTTCAAAACAGCCTTACCCTAGCAAAAATCCAGTACATTCAGAAAGTCAGAATACAGTCAAACAGAAAGATAAAACTAAATAAAAAGGAAAACACAACACCTTTCTCTTGGTGGCAGTGCTTGTCATCTTTGGCTTACTCCTTGCTGTCAGCGAGAAGGAGCTGTCGCTGCTAATGTTGACTACTTCAACAACATCATCTTTCCTCTCCTTCTTGCCATTCTCGACGAGATCACCCAATCTCGATAACAATAAGTCTCTCAACAAATTCATCCCTACCCTCAACGAATTCATACTCTCCTCGAACTCCCTTTTCATGGTAAGCTGAGTGTTTGCCAAGTCAGCCATGAGAGAATGTAGGCTCGCCAGCTGCATAGGAAATATGCAAAGTTTAGGTAGCAGGAAATACGTACGGAATTGTAGGAACAGTAAGACCTCACAAATTTTTTTTACGAATGGGGGAACTTTATTGAAGTGTAAAAAAAGTCCAAGCAAGGGCTGTGGTTGCCAAGAGCTCAACCAAACAACCATAACACAAAAGAAGCACATATAGGTGGAGCAGCCCAGCACAACTGTTACAATCTAAAAAGATAAACAAAAACAAGGGAAACCCCAACACAACAATCACGAAGCCAAGAAAAACACAGCATAGCCAACCACAATGGCTTACAAAAGTAATAACTGCACATAGTTTACCTCATTTGATTTCAGGTTATCAGGTGCTGCCGTTTCCTTGTCTAAGCTGAAAAAAACATAACCAACATGAACAAACGTAAGCAAGGTCCATGACAAAGCAATGAACAAAGCCAAGCAAAATAAAGCAGACGCACCCTGCCATGACACTAGTGGATTTTTGGCTCTGCAATTGAAAATAATAACACAGTAGTCACTGAGATGAGATGCTTAAATAGACAACCGTAAGTTTTGATGAAGAAGGGATCTGATTTTATATTTTCTGTTCTGATTTTGTTAGTTTTTAGTGTTTCAAATGATTAAAATAACCCATCCCAACAACTGAATACAACAGAAATAAACGGGGAATGGGATGATATCAGATCTCGTCTTATCTAATAAAAAATCTTAAGAAGTTCAAGATATCACAACAACTAAATTGTGAAATACAATATTTATCCCATTTTCAACATTTTCGTATAAAAAAACTCAGCAGACTTATTTGATAAAACAAACAATACAAAATCACACATATGATCACAATAGAGTTCCGGTGGAAAAAGCGCACCTTTTGTTTTTCAGATGCAAATATGATCAAATATGTGATCGTCAAGACACAACGGCTTCCCTGTAGCTGTTGACAGAATAACCAAGCTGATAAATTACGGATCCCCTCTCGATGGACTCCTTGTACCGATGCTCTATTGGGTCAACTTGCTGCAAGAGTTTGATCCCACTTAGAACAGCTGTGAAAGAAATCACCACTTTCATCTTTCCTCTGGACGAGAACAAGCAATAAATTACCTTCCTCAAGCTTGGCAATATAAACACCCTTGGTCTCATCTTCTCGGTTTTCATACATCCAGTCCTCAACCTGCTGCAGCTTTGTCAAGAGTTCTTCCTTCTCCGGCTAAGTGTAAACTCTTGATACTTATCAAGGAGCTGGCTGGACCATGAAACCTCAGTTAGCACATACATATCGTGATGGAAACATCCAAAACAAATAACACATGCCCACGACCTGGCTTCCGCTCCTTTTGAAAATACCCAAGTGTCGCGTCTCCTCCCTTTCCAGCGACAATCATATCCCCTGTTCCATTCATCTCAGCATCACCGACGACCTGGCTTTGGCTACTTTGGACAATACCACCTAACTTTTGCTTCCCCTGTCCTTCCAGCGCCAATCCCAGTCTCCCGCCGTAGCCTCATCCTCTCTCGCTGCTCCGGTCAGATCCCGTCTCCCACCCTAACTCCGCCCACTCCAGGCAACCAAGTTCTCCGACCTAATCCCGACCTAATTTCCCGAATCGCTTCCCTCATCCTCCTCAAAAGCCCTTTCAATTACTTCTTCGGTCAAATACCCTATTGCTTGATTGGCTCATGCTCTTTTACAAGTACCTCTCTGCGAAATCGCCATCGCTTGGCCAGTTGATTGCACTCGCTCGTCTCTCAGAAAACTACCTGAGAAGACCATCCCTCTTGCGTCCCATCCCCATATGATGGGTCTCTTCCCTTGCAGAGCCTTCTTCCTGGGGGAGATCGACCTCAGGATCTAATTACGAAGATGAAGGAGAAAGGCATATGGAGAACGAAGATGGGAAAAAGAGGTAGACCGTAGGAGATGAATGGTCTGTGCTTCTAAATGAACATCAGGTTTAGTGGTAAATTCTAAATGATTAACGAATACAACTTGGAGTCTTGGATGGAATTTTACAACTTTCAAATAAAGATGGAACTACTTTTGCAATAAGAAATTTGTGGGTTATAAATCAAGATTATTAAAAATTACGGTACCGAAAATTTTATGTCAGATATATATGTGATTGAATTAAGCATATCACGATAAAAAAATAATTTGGGACTAAATAGTAACAAAAATTAAATTAATAAGGGTAGTTGTAATTGTACTTTTTAGTAATTATTAATTTAATTATAATTAATTAAAAATGTTAGTAAGTGTGAACAGGGGCGTACGCTAAGGTTAGCGTATGCCCGGGCGTACGCTAGCCTGAACTATATATATATATATATATATATATGTGCTTAAACAATGAAATTTTTTGAGAAATTTAAAAACAAGTGATTTTAACCATAAAAAATGTGATTGTATGTTTGAGTCATGAAATGGTTTATTTAATCAAAAATTTTAAACAAATGTTTACAAAATTTGAAATTTGACAATTAAAATAGCCTTAAATATCATCATATGTTAATATCAACTCTTAACAATCTGGGTTGTTTTTAAGAGATATATATTAGTTACTAATGAATTAGTATTTAATAATTTATGTATTTTTAATTATCATTATTTTAGTTGATTATTGACCATAAATTTGAAGCCATTAGATTAGTGCTGGGAATCTAGACTAAATCGTATGGGGAATCGCGGTCTAGACCATATCGTATGGTTTGGTCTGCACTGTTAGGCCTTAACTATGGTCTAGTCTGGTTTGCGGTCTCTTCCTTTAGTGTGTGGTCTGGACCGCGGTCTACCGCAGTAAACCGTAATATACCGCGACATACTACTTACTAACTCGAATCAAAATAACAATAAATTAAATCTCCATTTATGTATTTGAATTTTGAAGAACAAAGTTAGTTGATTCTTCATTCAGTTGAGAACCAACAAATTGCTCAAATGATCGCTTATGAGTTATCTCCTTATCAAAGAACCACATAAAAATCAGAAAAGATTCATAAATAATATTCGCCGACAATGTCTACACTATGGAATCGATAAAACATAAACAGTAGAAAAATTCATTCACCTTGATGAGATAACGAAAATTATTGAGAGATAAGCGACCATCTTAGTGGTTCAACCGCGAGAACCTTCAGATCACTCGAGAGAGGGAGAGAAGCGCTAGCACAAAGAGGAATAGGAAAACAATACTATTTGATGTGTGTGTTTTTTAAGGGATACTGGATAGAGCCGTGGAAACTAGAGTGAGAGTTTGAAAATTGAAAAAAAAAATCGACTTATATCCTCATATATTTCTTCTCATTTAATTATGATCACAATTTTTTGTTTCACTAGTATATTGGTCACTGGCATTTATATTTTTATAGATACCGGTGAATGGTTGGAGGGTGGAACAAGTGTGAATTTTTTTTAACATGGTCTGCTTGGTCCAAACCGCACTGCATATACGTGGTCTGGTCTGGACCGTTTAGTATATGGTCTGGTCCATGGTCTGTGTTCTAACCTCTCAATCTGGACCACAAAACCGTGTCTACGGTCTGGTCAGGACCGCACCGTTTACCACCCCTACATTAGATATAAAATTTATGCATACATTTTAGCAATAGTGTATCCATTGAATTTTTTAATTACTATAATAATGCATAATTGTCTTAGCTTCATTTGGATTTAATAGAGAAACAAGGTAATAATATCAGTACGAAGAAAATAATTTAAGCAATTTATGCTCACAATAAGTAGTACAATTTTTTATATAAAATGTAAATAAACATTAGTAAATTAGGATAAGCCGATCAACAATAATAAGAGAAAAGTAATTTAGTCCTATACATATGAACCATTTATTATCTGTGTCAAAATTATGAAGTAGTACAAAGATTACTTTCAACTCTTTAATAAACTATTGATAGTGATCCTAATCATTTGAAAATATGAATGAATTGATTATCATGAAGTACTGGCAAATAAGATAAATTTATCCAACCAACGGGTTGGGTAAAAGCTAGTTCATATATATGTAGATTCAGAATGCTAGATTGGTTATGTGTAGAATTCTTCATTTTTGGATTTTAGGTCTAAAATTTCGAGATTTGCTAATTTGTGACTCTTGTTTCATGCCTAGAGCCCTAGACTCTTGTTCCATTGCTTTTGTTTTGGGAACAATGTGGTTCATATGAGATTTGGACTTTAGAACTATAGTAATCATGCTTTAAAATTGTTTAAGAGAAATAAAAACTATTTAGGATGTATCGGTTAGCGTATTATTATATGTGTTCTACTTATAATATTCTTAATTATAAGATATCGATTTGTGAACGGGTTGATACCGATTAAACCAATAAAGTGTGAGTCGTTTGCTATGTCGGTTCAAACTTGAGTTTGATTCTGAAAACATTGATTTTTTATTGAAAAAATCCGGCAATCTGTTTGGTGTAATTGACAATGATTTTTGTCTTTATCAAAATAGAACTTTGATTCAAATTCTAATAGCAATAGTTTGTTATATGAAATGATAAATAATTATGGAGACAAAATATTCTTCTTATTTTTCTTTTCGTTATAGAAAATTTGAAATGAAGCAACCATGTCTGGCTAAGATGGTGTGCCAGGAGGCTCTCTCGCACAGGGCCTCCAAATACGAAAATTAGAGAGATAATAGATAATTTTATTTTAAACTATATTAAATTTCAAATAATTATGATATAATCAGTTTTTAATTTTATAATACTTAAAAGTCAAATTTATACCACATCTCAATTTTGAAATAGAACCTACACAATTCATAGGACGGTCCTAGATGTAACAATTTTCTCATTTCACTATCGTGTAAACTTTTTTTTTTTTTACAAAGACTATCGTGTAAACTTAGTAAAATAAATGTTTAGTACTTGTATAATATATCTTTGTAGTTTGTACATACTAAATGTGTTAAAATTTCCGACTTATCGTTATTGTGATATAGGTGTGATTTGTAAAGCTACATATTCCGATAGATAACGATTGATTAATTGTAAGTGTCTAGTTTAACTACCGTTAAAATTTACCCGAAAATTTACCGAACTGCTGTTTATCCAGATCGGGTGAGTAACTGATGGGTCAGTAACCCATCAGTAACCCATCAGTAACTCCTTCCCTGATCCCCACGTGTCAGTCACTTTTTTATTTAAATTAAATGTGAAAAGGGCAGTGCGGTAAAATTGCACTTACTCCTATTTATTGCTGATGCTGACTTTTGACCGGACCACATCAGTGCCTCATTCTCTCTCCTCGCAAAACATTTAATTTTCCTTCTCTTAATCTTTAACGGACGATTTCTCACTCGTTTTAAGCTGAAATTTAATTTTTTTGCACAATTAGATCAGATTAATTGTGCTCTTCAAAATGATATCCACTTTGATATTTTTTGGACACAAAAGAATTTGTCAGTTATTACCAGTCTATACCATATGGTATTGACTGGTATTAAATAAGAGCATACCACATGGTGTGAAAATTTTTGCCAAATGAATATATATTTCGTTACCACCCAATACCATATGGTATGGTGTGGTAATATCAATATATATTTCGTTACCACCCAATACCATATGGTATAGCGTGGTAATATCAATATATATTTCGTTACCACCCAATACCATATGGTATAGTGTGGTAATATCAATATATATTTCGTTACCACCCAATACCATATGGTATAGTCTGGTAATATCAATATATATTTCGTTACCACCAAATATCATATGATATAGAGTGGTAATACCATATGATATATATAGTGGTAATACCAATATATATTTCGTTACCACCCAATACCATATGGTATAGAGTAATACCAATATATATTTCGTTACCACATAATACCATATGGTATAGTGTGGTAATACCAATATATATTATCTAAAAGAAAGGGGGAAAAACAAAAGGAGGGAGTGAAAAAAAACTTGTCTTCTGTCTCATCTCATTTCATCCGCAACCAAAGAACACCAAACGCCAAAAAAGGAGAAAGATCGAAATTAAAGCCAATGGGTTGATGAAGAGAAGAAACGCAATTAAAGAGGGTGACTTCAATTTTTATTCGTTGATTGCTAGAGAAAAAATTGAAGATGGAAGAGAGCAGATCTAGATTTGAAAAGGAGATTGTGAGAGAAAAAGTGAGAGAGAAGGAATAGAGAAAGAGAAAGGATCTGCAACCGCAACCAAAGAACACCAAACGCCAAAAAAGGAGAAAGATCGAAATTAAAGCCAATGGGTTGATGAAGAGAAGAAACGCAATTAAAGAGGGTGACTTCAATTTTTATTCGTTGATTGCTAGAGAAAAAAATGAAGATGGAAGAGAGCAGATCTAGATTTGAAAAGGAGATTGTGAGAGAAAAAGTGAGAGAGAAGGAATAGAGAAAGAGAAAGGATCTGGAAAGAGATTGGGAAAAAGGAAGAGAGAAGGAAGAAAGTAGATTTGCAGAGAGTAGGTCATTCTCTCTCTTTCATTGAAAAGTCAACCATTGAAATGCGGAATAAATAAATAAAAAATACAAAAACGGACAAAAATGCCCCTCCCCACCTCCACGTCCAGCCAACCACACGATTTCTTCATCCCCCAGATCTACGGCTCCTGTGTGGTTACTGATAGGTCAATAACCAGTGGTTACTGACCCTATCCCAAGCCGACTACAAAGAGATTCAGCACAGATTCGGTGTCAGTGGAGCAAATTTTGGCGTGGTAGCACATGAGCATCACGCTGCTAGCTCCACTTTCGGTGCCTTGACACTCTGTTCTTTTAGGAGAGAAAGGGGAGGAAAAGGAAAGAAAGGGAGGGAATTGTGCTTCCCTAGAAGTTTTCCGCTGTTCTCCAAGCAAGCTACAGTGGCAAGGGACGGAAAATGAAAAGGAACTTTTACTGTTCCACCCTCACCTCCGATTTGGGGGGAAACTGATCAATGGTGGGACAATTAATAGGAATGTTAGTATTTAATGAATAAATATGATAACTGGGCAGTTTTAATGGTTGATCTGGGGACAGAAACGGATGGCAATTAATAGATAATAGAATAATTGGTTGTAATTTAATAGGGATAAAGAGAATTTAATAGTTTAATCAAATACTAGAAAGAGATAATTTCATACGCGTACAAATGAACATGAATTAATTAGTGGAATGATGAAATAATTAAATTATTTAATCATTGTTACGGGATAGGAATTTTTTTGTGCGTGTGACGTGGGAAGGAAGATAGGGATAGAAACAAAACCCGAACTCACGGGTACCTTATCCGATCCAACCCGGTCAACGCTGATAAAACCCGTGTTGACGGGTTTTGGGTTTAAACCCGCTACATTGTTCACCGAGTTGGGTTGGGTTTGGTTTAGGTAAACCCACCACATGGGTACCCGCCCACACGCATATAATTAATTTTTTCGGGTGTTACATTTTTTATAGAATTGACGTCATCTTATACTCCAAAGGTAATCAAATTTGTATGAAAAAATATAATCGAGTTAAATGAACAATTTATGTTCCGTTAACAAATAATAAAAATGATTGGGGTTATGTAGAAATAGGTTATTCATAATATTCATTTTCGCATTTTTGTATATACTTACTATTACATAATCAATAAAAGAACTCTTATAAAAAAAAATCAAGGGTTAATACCCTAGTTAGGCCCGAAGTTTGACGTAAGTGACAATTTTGGCCTCATTTTTCATAGAAGACATTTATGGCCTACTTTTGAAACTATTGGACAAATTTGGCCCAAAATTTTGTTTGACCGTTAATATTGACGGTCAAACACTATTCCGGTAGTGACTCAGCAAAAACCCCTGATGTGGCACCACATCATTAAATAATATCATTTTAATTTTACAATTCAATTAAAATAAAAGAAAGTACAAATTAAATCACTATTCATAATTAGAATATTAACATACTATTAAATTATTTTACTATTACATAATCAATAAAATAACATATTCATCACACTTCCCAATACACACTTTCCTTCTCACTTTCCTCCATAAAACAACATTTTCCTCTCAATTTCCTTCACCTCCAAATCTCTCCTCCCCTCCTAATTTTCCTTCACCTCCCCTCCTTTTCCTCCCTTCCTTCGGAAACATTTGTAGTAAACAATTTCATTGCTGATTGGAGTCAGTTCCATAATTGATTGAATATAATGTGACATATGAATCTATAATTATACAATAGTACTAGGGCCCAAGTAATTACAATTATTATCAAATTTTAAGAACATTTATTGACGTTTGTCACTGAACCGGATCACATCTGATCCGACGGAAGACGTTCAATTATAGGCTTAATTGCAAGTTTGGTCACTCGAATTGCTATAAAATTTCACGTTTGTCACTCAAATTAATTTATTCCATTTATAGTCACTCGAATTAGTTGAACAGTTCAAGTTCGGTCACTCTCCGTTAACCTCTGTTAACTTTGACTATCGTGGCGGTCAAGTCTGACAGTTGACCGTTAAATGTGTGACGTGAAAAATAAAAAATAGTAAAATAATAAAAATTAAATTTTTAGAAATTACACATCATTATCACAAAAAATTATAATTATAAAAAATGGAACAAAAAATCCTTTCCAACCATAATTGCTCCATCTCCCACATTATATAAGCCATTAATCGTTATATTTCCCCACTCTCTTTAGATTAGATGTTAATCTGTTACGTACCATGAATCTTTGTTTACAGGAGCATTAGGAACAGCACGGCGAGAAGGAAGTTGGGATACTTGTCTTGTTCCACGGGCAATCATATCGACGACTGCTGGCGATGCGACCCCAACTGGCAATCCCACCGCAAGCGCCTGGCCAACTGCGCCATCGGCTTCGGCCGCAACGCCATCGGTGGTCGAGACGGCCGCTACTACGTGGTCACGATGCCACGTACGTTGCTGCTCTTCAAAGGCCGACGCGCCTCCCTCCGCCAAGTTTGCCCCGAACCGGAAATTGCTGCTCTTCAGCTCTCCCGGAAACGGCGTCAGCAGAGGAAGCCCCAATTTCTCAGGTGATTCAAACCCAAATGCGAAAACAAAAACATTACACACTGAGTTCAATATATATATGCAGCAAGGTATAATTAAGAAAACCCGCGGGAAGAGCTAGCGTTAAGTGAAATATATATATATTACCAATGAAGTCGACGATGAAACGCCCGTTGCAGCAGCGACCAGTCGGGCGACCGAAGTAAGTTTCGCCATTTGGTAGGGAGCAACAGTGAGGGCACTTACCCAGCAGCATCTGGTTTCCAGTGTCGCTTACAGAGTCGCCGAAGCTGAACAGTGACGTGAAGCATGGTCCGATACCACCGCCGGCTGCTTCTGATGCCGCCGCCGACGAGTTTGAATAGTCGGCGGAGGCGGACAGGAGGCTCAGGAAGAGAAGAGCAGGGCTGAACAAAGAACTGATAGTGGTCCGAATTGCCATTTTCAGTAATGAATAAATTGGGAAGCTGAAGCTCCGATAAGTATTTTGGGAATTTTTGCTTCCATTCGGCTTTTTATTTTTTATAATTATAATTTTTTGTGATAATGATGTGTAATTTCTAAAAATTTAATTTTTATTTTTTAATTATTTTTTATTTTCCACGTCACACATTTAACGGTCAACTGTCAGAGTTGACCGCCACGTCATTCAAAGTTAACAGAGGTTAACGGAGAGTGACCGAACTTGAACTGTTCAACTAATTCGAGTGACTATAAATGAAATAAATTAATTTGAGTGGCAAACGTAAAATTTTATAGCAATTCGAGTGGCCAAACTTGCAATTAAGCCTTCAATTATATATGCCAAAAAAAAAAAGAGGAGCAGCGGCGCCGGCTTGGGAGTTGGGACAACACACTCTAGTATGGTTTGAATGAGAGATTTCATTAGTGAGGAATTTATATTCAATTAGTCATTTTAAAATTTTGATAATTTTTTTACCTCAAGATATGTCAAGAAAAGAGAATCATGTTACAAGATCGAAAACAAAGACACACTGTATTTCATATGCAACTGAACTACCCATAAAAACATATTTGTTGCTTAACACATACCGTTTAAGAAAAGCTCCGAAGAGGCAAAGACACGATACAGGTGCAAATGACACTAAAAGAAAGCCTCCTCCAAGATAGCATGTGAGTGAGTGAAGTTTATTCATCGTCAAAATACCATTGAAATCATGAGTGACTGCTATGTCAGCCAAGCACCGACCAGAGCCAGCTGAACTTAGAGAGTAACTTAACCAACCAGAAGGTCAGAGACATAGGGAACTAGGTAAAACATACCGGTACCAGAACATTTGTACTAAGTTATGGACAATTTGAACAAAGTTCAGCAAGGGCGGAGCTACATTGTAGCTAGAGTGCCCCCCGGGGGATTGGTCACGGCCCCTATGTCCTTAAGGATATTTAGTACAAATTTGATAAGTAGAACTTGTTTTGTAAATTCAGTCATGTAATAGTTATTTTGTCTAATGGTAGCCAAACTTAACTTGTGTGTAAAAGAACCAGGGTTTGATCCACATTGGTTACATAATTTTTTTTAATTATTTTCGGCCCCTCGGTCACGAAATCCTGGCTTCGCCCCTGCAGTTTAGGGATGCGATCTCATTGAAAACCAAATCCATGAGTTCAAGCAACAACCAATCGATAAACTGGGGGGCGTGAAATTATTAAAAGATCCCTCCGAAACTGCATACACCGGTCTAGAATGTTTCGACAATAAAGAAATTCTAGAAAAAAATCAAACAAACGATCCAAAATCCATACGTGTAAGAGAGAATCGACGAATGTAGAAGAAGAATACTTTAGGCAAGGACACCACCACCCAAAAAATCTTGTGTTAAGAGTCAAACAGTCGTCATCTTATTAGAGCCATTGTTGTTGTTTTTGTTAAAATTCAGATAATTTGTGTGTGAGATTTGAGATAAATATTTTATTTGTTTATGAATTTAGATTTTCAATTAAAAAGTCGAAGTTCAATCTTATCATTTCTTCTTTGTCTTCGTCGTTTCTTCCCCTTCTTCCTTATCTCATTCATTGTCAGCTTCCCAGAACCTAACCTAAAACAACAACAAAAAAAGCAATGGGATTTTGCACTGAACAAGAAGATAATAATGAGAATCAAAAGTCGCCGCGTCCATCGTGGAAGAATTCAACATTGAATTGTTGGTTGATGGAAGAATCAATAGTCAAATTGCTGGTGAACTTTTTTCCTACAATGCAATCAATCCCACTCCCCTCAAGGCTGCTCCTTGTAGTTTTCATCTCGACAACACACACAACAGGAGAAGATCTAAAAATTGGAAGTTAAAAATGCAGAACCACGATACTAATCCCCAATTCTCAATCCAGTTAGATGCCAATCCCCCAATTGAGAAAGAAGAAAAAAGATATTGGCTCGCTCAAATTACAACTTCCTAATCGAAGGTCAAGTATAAGTGTATAACCAACGATCGGGTATAATATAGGGTAAGTAAGTAATAAAATTATCAAACCACTGGTCTCTAGATGTACCTTATTTCGGCTTAAGGTTTGGTTATCTAGGCAACCTAGAATAGTGATTAAGAAACTAACCTAACAAAACTAACTTAACCACTATCCTAGTTAATTACAAGGTTGGAGCTCTCTTGGCTTGAATCCCCCTAGCTCCTTCATTTCGGCTGATGTTGAGTACCATCCTCACTCGATTGACTCGATATTTCTACCGCGGAGAATGCTAGACTTGGTTGGGCCCCCTATTCGAGTGTATCCCACCTTGCCCAATTGCACAATTCGGAGTGGCATACCGAACAACTGACCAAGGCCATTGGGGTGCTAACCGCTAATTCCCATGATTGGGCTAGACCCTCACGTCACTACCCAATATGACACTATGGCTCCTATTGCTCACGCATCAAAGACCCATAGTGAGGGATTGAAGGTATTCTATTCAACCTAGGGGGTATACTCCAAATCCTATATCATTAGGAAATCAATTGAGTTCACTCCCTCAGATATTAACCTGGAACGACATAGATTGAGTAGTAACCCTAATTGCGAAGAATGGGCCAAAAGGGGATTTTCTCCCTCATTGGTCAAAAGCTCAAATGACATGAAATGGAATCAACACTCATGCAATTGATAATAAGAATCCATGATATAGAGTTTAGGTTAGATGTGTGAATGTGGGCCTATAGTGGTCGAGGCGACCGAACCCCTGCTATAGGTAGCCTTCCTAGATGGAACTCAGGATGAAACCTCAAAGTGGACGATGGATAGTGTCCATTGAAATGAGTCATAAGCTTAAATCCCTAGATACGATAGCCTAGATCGAGGTGACTGAAACATGGGTTTAGGGGAGGCGTACTCAGAGGCACTCAAAACATGCATAGTATCTCTAAGCTAGGGGGAGGATTAGTTCCCCAAAGTACCTACTTTTAGCTTTGATCAACCTCTAGACTAGTATTTCCTCATATCCTCCACTCAAAACCTCAAAAACCGATTACCTAATTAACAACAAGGTGGGAAGTAGGCTAGGGTACCAGGACCCGAGTAGAATACAACCTTGATTACCACTATACGACAATTTCGTCCTAGTTTAAACTTAGCTTAGAATGGGATAATTGTTGATACGTGCAAACCACTAACAATAACATGCACGGATTCAAGTGATCATGCTTTTTGGCGCCGTTGTCGAGGACCCTTGGTAACTATTAGAAAACCATTAATTTATTAGTTAGTCTTTATCTTGTTTTGTGTGTTTTGTTTATTTTGAATTCGTGTTTGTGTTTTTGTTCGCGTGTGTTTCTTTTTGTGAATTATTTTCACCCACTGTTCTCCCCGAGCGGTGGCTTGTGTGTTTTTATTGTCTTTTTAGTGTTTTTGTTGTTTGTAATTTGTGAATTATGGATCCATATGGTTGGAACGATGAGTGGGAGGATCACCAACCGCCAAATTGGTGGTATCTCGAAGCTTCTAGTAGCGGGGCTAGCTAAGGATCCCGGTTTCAAGAGCAACCACCTCTCCATGCCTATCAACCGTACCTCCATGATTACCAAGCATCTCACCCATCATACCAAGAACCACCTACATAACCTATGGTGAAGACCGAGTTGGAGATGGCCATTGAGTGACTTGAGGCGTATACGCTATATCTAGATGGCATTGAGACAACTCACTCAACTCCAACCCCGGAACCAAAGAGCCTCTTGGAGCTCGAGTTAGAAAAAATCATGGCCGGGAGTGGGAGTTCATTTCATTATTCACCACCACCTACACCAAAGATCCTTGGAGATTTAGCATTTGAGTGCTACAACATCCCAATGGAGTGCGTAGAAGCTAGCGATCCCAACCTTCCTTCGGGTTGTTTTTGGATTAAGGATGTCAAACTAGAGGAAAGTTGGCTCCAAGAGGTGGGGACCGTAAGGACGTCTTGCATCAAGGAAAGTCCCGACCCTACTACTCAAGACTTCCTCAAGGAACAAGAAGAGATGCTCAAGAGGATAGAGAAGAACGGAAAATTTATTGAATAACTTTGCTCTTTTTTTTTACAACACGAGTAACTTTGCTCGATACTCAATCAAGAGCACCTTTTCGACATCAAGAATAAAGCAAAAGAGGAAGTAGTAGAAGAGGCATAAGTCTTAAGGGTAGACAAACAAGAGGGCCTTGAAGATCCATTTATTGAAGAACTTGCTTGTGTAGCCATCATTGCTCCTAGTCATCAAGGAGAGAGTACTAAAGAAGGGAGCATTGATGAGGTTATGACGGAGAGTGAAGGAGAAAGTGAAGAAGAGGAAGAACTTGGTAATCAACATGGAGAAGATTACTCACAAGAAGGAGAGGAGGTCAAAGACGCAATTGGAGTCCGAACAATGGACAAAGTCGTAGAGGATGAAGCTTCTACAAGTTATAAGGGCTACCAAAGCTTTCCACTCGACCTCGATGCACTTTTGGAAAAGGACACATTTGCGGCTCTTTGCCAAGCCAAAGCCAAATCATTGGTGATCCCTCTTGGTGGATGTGATGGAAGTCAATTGATTTGGCACAACATGGTGTGGGACAAAGAGGAGAGAGATGAAGAAAAGAAGAAGATGTCTCATGAGTGGAGACACAATTCTCACCAAGTCCAAGAGTCGTCCATATCATTCGAAGCATCCAACGCTCGGGACTTGAGACACCACCTCAACGAATAGAAACTCAACTTCAACGAGGTTATAAGTTGGACCGAATACTTGAAGATAATCGTCTGCCGATAAGACTTGATAGACGTGCTAG